AGGAAAACATAGTTTTTCAAATAAATCGCTCTGCAGGCAGAGTCAGTGTCTTACAGTTTATAGATAACGTTGTGCAGTTCAACAGCTTTAAAGGTTAAAGGGACAGAAAAAGAGGATGAGTTGCCTTGTGTTAATACCATCAGCCTTGTCACAGTAGAGTCAGACAAATGAGCCAGAGGTGGAGGAGACTGTGGAGCGTTCTGCTCCTTATCTGGCCAAAGCAGAAGAAGGAGTGTTGGCTGACCAGCCTGAATTAGGTCAGTGGCCACTCAGTTTTTCCTACGATGTGGAAATGATAGTGACGAGTGTCTAGATACACAAGCAAAGCATTCCATGTTCCCATCCCATCAATACTTGTAGATCATACCCCAAAACCCAAATCTGAACTTCAAATTTAATTCTACGTTGCATAATGATGTCAAATGTCGGTGACTGACAGTACATACGGTGCCCTATATAGTAAATACGGAGTGATTTTAGATACAGCAGTTCTCTAACTTGGTTCAATTAAGTTCCATCTGTGAAGCCAATCAGTGCTCAGAACGACCACAGGAGGACCAATCAGCTTAAACTGAGATTTTGAGACGTTAAATATGTTTGTGTTATCAAATAAATGATCAAGGCAAAGTTAACTTCATGATTGATTAATTAATGAAAAATTCCAACTTGGTATTGGTATTTTTTAACTAGTTTTTAATCACATTAGCTACAATGCTGGTCAATCACACATGTGCCGCTGTTTGTTATCACCAGTAACTTAAGTTGTGACTGTTGAGTTGCAGCAAGTTACAAGAATATACTTTATTGTTAAAGTCACAGGGACTACTTAAAGAACAACAATTTAGATCAAAATGTTGCTGTCAAATAAATGCATTTAATTAGAAAACACTTTCCCTCTGACATTTATTGAGGTTGAAATAAATGTGCTTAATTACTTTCCACCACCGACTACTGATGAAAAAAATCCAATTTTCCTTTTTGAACACATCAGCTGTAAATCTTCTTGAAACCTTTTTTCTAATGATTGTCAAAAAGGCCAGAACATCACATCATTTCTGGCAACGGAGCCACCGTGACATCAACAGCTATCCCATAAATCTGTGCACTGCAAAGTCTTTTCCGTCGTTCCTTCTGTGTTGCCCTTCTCTTTCTGGATTCACTTTGTCCATAAACTCAGTGTTTAGTTGCATATTTGTCGTCTAAACTAGACGACGTTCTCATAACGTTTTTTTGGAGAACTCCAGCGATGCACTGACGCATTTGTCAGAATGTGTTTCGAGTGTGAAGAGGTGGCTGCACGTTGTGTGTGCGTAGAGGCAGTCGCTGAATGTGTCATGTTGGTGTGATTCCTGACCTCAACACGGGGGCACGCTGGTGGGGCTTCAAAGCGTACAACTGCAAATATCTGAGTCACGTCATATGCTGCAGTCAGAGCGAGGAGTAGCTTTCCTTCCCATAAAAGGAAAGGTTTCAAAAACGCGTGCTTTTCCTGTACCAACATTTAACAAACAGAACATATGTTTCCCGAAAGTTTAGAATGTCTGAGTTTGAAACTGACCAGACAATTTCTCCTAAAACATATCTCATCTTCTCATTTATCATATCAAAAAGCTTGAAGCTGGCTTTGAGCAGGAATGTATAAAATGCACCAGGCTGAGACATCTTTGGGAGGAATACAGGTGTGCTCCTCCTCCGAGTCAGGAACAGACGTAACGGCCTCAGCAATCACACGTCGGCTACACTTGATGAATGAGGCAGATTTCTGTCTCCTCACCAACAGTTTTAGGAGTACTGATATCTTAACAACGCATAGGTGAAGACAGATCCTGCTCATGCACGCACTGGAATATGTGTGTAAACAGCAAATACATCTGCTTGACAACTTCCTAAAATGCTGTATAACTGTTTTTTTTTTTGCAAAGTTTACAACCTCTAAGGTGAACCGGCAGAGACGGGAACACTAATAATTAATAACCCCCCAAAAAAATCCCAGATCGCTGTGCTCTGTTTCAAAGGAACAGGGCAGGTCCGGGTAATAAGCATCTCAGCGATGGTGAGGACATCGCCGAAGAATGTTCTCCATCGGATCCACACTAGTGACGTCACCACTGCTGCAGTTAAGTCAACCAGATGGCATGAAGATATATTGTGTGCCCTGCAAATCATTAAGACGAGGAAGTGCGGTGTCACGTTAGCAGCTACTGTGCTCCCCCCTAATGATAATAATAATAAATACTGATTATAAGTTATTGTGCCAGTACATTATGTCAACACGTTTGTTTCATATCCTCTGCGGGCTGTTTTCCCATCACACCCTTTGTTTCTATGGCAGTTTCACAGCTATTGAACACGCTCATGAAGGCCCTGATGCATTGTGCAAGCGTGATGACTGATGAAATACAGGAAATGGTGGGAAAGTACGCACATTTTATTAATGTGAATCATAAAATGTTGCTGAAATAGAGTGACATTCAACAAGTCACAGACATCTGATTTTAAAATGTTTCAGCTGTCATGTAGCCCAGGATCATATTGGCAATAATGTCAACCATGCAAGTGAGGCTTCCATCCAAAGAAGCCTGGATTCAGCAACACTAGACCTTTTGCCTCCCTTCAGTATAAAATGATCCCAGACCAGCTGGCTTGGTAAACATGAGGACGCTGTGTGCATTTTACTGCCATTACATCACGGCAGTTCTGCCGCGCTTCCAAGTTCATGTTCCCGTTGCTGTCATCCGGAGACATCAGCTCGTGTAGCTTTAAAGGGTAACGATAGCAGGGGGCTCGTATTTCCACGCGGCCTCTCTGGGTTCAGTGCATCACATGTCAACATGAGCTGAACTCCCCCACACACTGACTTCAGTCAGTATGATCCGAACGTGAGCCGGGATTCAAGTTTTGTTACGCTATGCATGAAATCAGAGGATACAGATGGTCATAAAACGAGTTTCTGTGCAGAAGAACAAAGGCGAGCAAAATGCCTGCTGTGGCGAAGCTGTACGCAGCGCGTGTGTGTGTGTGTGTGTGTGTGTGTGTGTGTGTGTGTGTATATCTGTGCGCTGAAGTCATGTTGTAGGTAACATCTGTTGATGGTTAAGATGCCGCTCTTGCTCTCACACCCCTGCTGCTCCTGCAGTATCTGGCGCGTGATGAGGTCATCACTCATGGACGGCCGCTTGATCGCCAATTAATCGGAGGGGAGCCGGGCTCCCCCCCCAGCCCCCCTGCCCAGATTAACTTGCTTTTTAGGGGCTTCCAGGGTGAAACAGTCAGCAGTCGGAGTCAAAACCCTGCTATGATATCAGGTCAGAATAGAAAAGGCAACAGCAGGAGGGACGTTTATAATTGTACAGCGCGAGTGTGTGCTTTTAAAGAGGGTTTTCTCCAGGTTACTCCAGGATGTGAGCACAACTTTCCAGGACCCAGTAAAAGGAAATGATTATATCCAGCTAAAATGCATCATTCAACAACGCATTAACCAGAGTGACATTAAAGCCCAGTGCGACCTGGTGCCTCTCGTACTGTACGTGTCGAGCCGTGGCTGCCACAACACAGAGAGCTGCTTCAGCTCTCCTTAAACAAGTGATAAGTAGAGTTTCCTCTTGAAGGGCAAAGCTATTTTGGGGTTTTCAGTTTTTCTAGCCCTCTGTAATAATGTTTTGGACGAAGTGCAGAGCAGAACAGAAGCCGCTGAACAAACTCTGGGTTTTGTGCTCGGGCGAAGGACTGAAATGCCGTTTACTCAAGCTCCTCAGGGATTCTTTGTTTCTTCCTGAGGCTGCCTTGATGCCATGTCTACCGCTACATATTTAGAGGAGTAGTGGGCTGTTACATGAAAGAAATGTATCTTCTTGTTAAAACGTTTTTCGTGATCAGCACTGGAGGTTTTGACAGCACATGGGAGTTCATCCCCAATTTTATTGGCTGCTGGACTGCAAGTTTTAAAAGATGAGTCGGTTAGCTTTTGTTTCAGCTTGGGTCTGATTTAGTTTTGTTCTGGGAACACAGGGACATCACTAAAACGGTACTGGTATTAGTACAAGCTTGTAACCTTATAGTCGATACCGAGGTGTAGTCTCAAGCGAGGGTTGTCTGGACAAACATCTCAGGGAGGGAATGAGGTATTAGAGGACACCTCCACGCACACACACCTAATACCTTTACACATGACACACGCCTAAGTCTGCACTCAGCTACGTAATCAGCGTTACGTCCACCTGCTGAGGACAGATGACAACATCAGATACTGAACACATACTTGCGTCTATGTACTTTTACTCACGCTGACGTCTGCTGTCGAACCTGAGGCTGAAAATATACACCCTCATCAACTATTTCCGTGGTAATCTGGCGTCTTGTTGAGCATGCAGAGTGATTGATGCTTCTCAGAGCCATTAGCTTCGTTTTTTCTTTTTTGCTCTCCTCTCAGTCATATAAATCTTTCGCTTTTTCTCACGCGGTAATTAGCTGGACCCTGGACAGAGGCCTATTTTTCATGGCAGCCTTTTCCTTCCTGATCTGCCCGGTGACAAAGCGCAGGCCGCCGTCACACAGTCCAACTCAAACATTCTGCTGCAGCTAAAGTGCAATGAGGTGATAGACGATATGAAATGTTACGTTATGAAATGAAATGTATGGTGAGTTTTGTGTGTGTGTGTGTGTGTGATATTGCTGAGGAAGCAGTAAACAGAACACTGCAAGTGACTGCTCTGTATTTGACATCCACAGAAGAGACGTGTTTCCACCTCATTTAACACGTTATAAAACGGCAGCGTAGACAATCTGATCGTCAAGTGTGCCTCGCTCTGTGCTGCTGCCTCTGAGCTTCGGTTGCACTTCAGCTCTGAAGAGCATGCTGACATCGACGCATGAAGACGCATCGTACCTTCAGGACAGAGGAGATGACGGATGAAATAATAGCGCTGCATCAGTCGTAGTTTGTTTGTTGGAAGACTGCCATCTTTTCTTAGTGACTTCCTGGTGTTAACTCGTACACTGACCTCTCGCGCTCCTGCTCCAGCAGGTTGGTGAACTCGTCGCTCTTCTTCATGAACTCTCCGTGGTTCCTCTTCTCGTCCTCCAGCTTGTACAGGGCCTGTTTGTGCGACTGCTCCACCATCAACAGCTGCTCCAGCATCCGCCGGTGCGTCTCCCTCTGCTTCTCCACTAACTTGTCCAGCTGTGGGGGCAGCACATAGAAAACACCTGTCACATCTGGACTGCTCTGTGTCAGTCAGACACTGTCACTGAGGGTGTTTCAGACCCTATATAGAGTCTTTTAATTGAGAGTTGGTGTTACCTCGACCATGGGCCTCTCGTAGATGTCCTCCTGGAAGACGTCAGCCTTGCCCTGGATGGCGTCCCTCTGCAGGGACTGCAGGACTGTCTGTGGTGTGACAAAGCCATATTTGGCCTCCAGCAGGGCCATGTCCATTTTCTCTGCCTTCAGCACTGTGATCACCTCATCTCTGGCCTGCAGTGGGGGAAGAAAGGGGCATTTGGTTAGACTCAACTTTGTGAAACAGGATTAACAAGCAGCAGACTTCAAATATGCAGCAGCAGGATTAAGTTTTAGCAGGAGAGACCTTTTAAATATTATATATATTTGCTTTTCTCTACCTTGTTTCCTTGTATCTAGCTTCTTTAACCTCAGCGATAATGCAGACTTTGCCATGTTGCTATCATACAATAACATTGATTGATTCCTGGATCCAGAGCTGGAATGACAGGAAGTAGCCTCAGCTGTTGGCTGTCTATTAACACAGGCTTTTAGTCTTTCTCAAGTGCCCACTGAGCCACCGTGTCTGACTCTATGTCTGACTGGGGCCAGTGCCATGTCTGCTGTTCCCAAGGCCCAGTCATCTCTCCAGTCTGGATTACCTGCAGCTCTCCCTCCAGCAAGCTCAGTAGAAAGACGAGGTCATCTCGGGAAAGGTCCCTGCCCTTCTCCCTCCGACCTGCTTTCGCAGCTCCGCTGGCGCTGCTACTCCCACTCTCACTCCCACCAGCACAGGTGCTGTTCTTGGCCGTCTTGCGATTCCGCTGAATGGTGCCGGTGTCGTCCGGCGGCTCCCGGTGTCGACTGCGGCGCTCGGCCCTTCCCGAGGGCTCCACTCGCTCTACAGATCGCTTGCGTGTGTCCGCCTGCTGCTGCGCCGCCTTGACCTTGGTTATGTCCTCCAGACTGTTGCTACGGGACCGCATGTTCCTCGACCTGTTGAACGAATGGAAGATCGAAGAATGAGGCTGTTTTTTTTATATCCTTCATCCAGACGCACACACTGCACCACGTCTCCTGTTAGTGTCTAAGCGTCTTGCATTAGTCTTGTATGTCTTGTGAATCTAATGCATTATTTATCTTTGCATTAAGTTAAAACAGAGGCAACACAACAAACAGAAAACATAATGTGCCACATTTGAATCCATGACCTTGACTTTTAAGGGCTTAAAATAACGCTGCACACTCTCAGATGCTCTTACACTGTCATGTGTAATCAATCTGTGATGTTTGTTTCCTTCCAGGAGTTACTGTGTGACTAATGAGATACCTTGATTTACATTTTCTGGCCAGATGATTCAGGCATTACTGTGCATGGATGCCACTTTTACTTAAACTGCTTCACTCATTGATGTCTTTTCTATTTTTCAAACAAACCCGACAAATCCCAAGAAATAAGAAAAACCCTCCACAGTGAGCACAGACATGTACCGTGAGGTACATGACCAGAAGCAATAGAACTGTTTACGTCTGTGCTTGTAAATCCTTGGAGTTTGTGCATGTCTGAACATAACTTTTGTTTCATGTTTGTTTTGACTGTGCAATTGGATCTCGTCACACTGTGCTGAGCCGTAAACTAGACCTAAGTACAGTTACACATATAGCGCAGCAGCATGTCGTCATTGCCTGTCAATCATTAGTCACTGGCAAAATATGCCACAAAGTCTCTTTTTTGGACCCCAGACTTTAAGTCCTGTCGTTATGAATTACTCAACGTTGCCAACCGTCATTCACGGCTAATGAATTTCCACACAATGTGTCATTTTCGACGGTAAAAAAGGGCGGCTTAAATCAGTCCCGCCAGAGGATTTAAGCGCTGTGGTCGTCTTGTGTACCTACTTTGTCTTTTTTACAGATGATGATAGGTGGTCCGATGTGTTTGAGCCCGGTGAGTGATCGGAAAAGAAACGGTGACATCAGAGTAGATAAACAGCATCGTGGCTTCCTACCAAGGTTTGCTTGGAGTGTATAGTTTGTCTTTGTGACATCTGGTTCATGAATGGGCCTTTCAGTGACTCACTGATTTAGATAAATCAAAAGATGATAAATAGATGAACGCTGTAAACTGCAGACTCGCGGGCAAAGCAACTGTAAGCTCAGCGTTATGCTCAGCTAAAGTAAATATATTCAAAAGACAAAGCAGGACTGAGATGAAAACATGCTGAAACTCATTTGTACGAGTGTTTGATGTGAGAGAAGGCATTACATCATCCATCCGTTTGGAATCATATCAAATTGTTTCCAGCTCAAAGGTTTGTGTTCTGGCTGAAGACAGAATTTCACAACAGTAACTGACTTTCATTTTGTCATTTGTCAAGAATTGTCATCTGACAGGCAACACACAAAACATGTAGATCTTAGATTTACTTCTGAAGATGAATGTTGAATTGCTCCACGTCGTTCTAAAAGCTCGTAAATGGTGATGATCCGTTGGCCATTAGGTAACTTAAAAACGCTAAAGTCTCTCTTGAGCCATGACGAACCCCGTGAAGAGGAACCGCTCCCTATGTACGACAGGAATGGCTAAGCTAACAAAAACACAACTTCTTAGTTTCAGGTGACACACACAGATACAAATATAGTCACAAATATTTTATTACATTCCTGCTAATAGGTCGCCGATCGTAAATGCTTCACTCTGAACTTAAAGTAAAAGATACTTCTTCCAGCACTACTTTGCAAGTTATTATTTTCAGCCTCAGTGCAGTTGCCGCTGAGACAGAAACGAAGATCTCACCACTCCAACCTAAATTTCCGAATTGGACTTTTCGAAACAATATGTGCAAGACTCCTGCAGTGTGTGTGCAGCCTCCGTGTGAGGCCCTCTGACAGTTTATGAGTAAGAAAGATGGCTGAGTGACTGCATTGTGCACACTCTCGGCAAGGCACCACATGATTCAGAGCTGAGGTAATTCCCTGCAGTCTAAGACAGACTCCACTCAGAGATCGGGGCTACAGGCGATGGAATGAACAGTGTGTGTTTGTACAGATGTAGGTGATGGACATTCATATCGTTCATGTACAATATGTTTGTAACCTTCCCTTCATTAGAACAGTATGTAACCCCTCTGATGAGTAACTAGACACATAATTAAATCAGCTGTCAGTTACAACGGCAGCCTGTTGCCATGATGCAACACACACACACACAGATGCTCCAACTGACACACACATGAATAAAAAGCTGCTGGATACAGACGTGAGCAGAGATTGTGCAACAAATCCGAGGGTCGCAGACGCGTAACGCGGGCCCGCCGGGAGTCCCTGGTGAGCGCTCCTGATGGTCCTGATTTTTAGTTATTGGTTTATTGAGCAAAGCTGGAAAAAGAAGTGAAATACTGGAATGGTGAGCAAGAGTTTAGAAAATCGGACCCAAGCTTTTCTGATTTGTGTTCATGGACTGGAAGGTGTTTTGACCGTAGTTCAAAACACCTTTCTTTCATTACCAATTTGTCATTTGAAGATTTTAATGAGATCAACCCAAAGCCGTAATTACACTTAATGTACCAAAATGATTAGTTTAACATAATGAGCTTTTATTTGAAGCTATGACAGATACAGACCCATAATAAACATTTTGAATGTGAGAAAAACAAAAGCAAACTGTTCAGACTTAAGTGGATAGACCTACATGGAAGCAGAGCTTCAAACCTCATAAGTTTTACAGTCCAAATCTAAATTTAAAAAAGGTGTAAACAGACTTCAGCAAGCCAACGGTGCCAAATGAAAGCACAGCTTAAGCAAAGATGCAATTTGGAAATTTCCTTTGCCGGAGGAGGCAGGAACACTGGCTCTTAAAATGCTTGTGTACGCTGTGTGCGCACATATTTACTCCGTGACCGCGTCGTGTTGTCTATGTCTAGGTGAAGGTGTGAAGACAAAACTGCCAAGACACAAAGTTAATTAGCCACCATCTGGGGCGCGAGACCTTGAATAACACCGACGAAGCCTTATGGGGCATTTCTTTAGCAGATCGAACCATAAATATTCATGGTAGTGAACACGTTTATGTCTTTGAGAAAACGTCTTTGGAAAGATGTTTTTAGTTGGAGACCTGATCGACACAGCCAAGTATTTCTCATGACTTTCAACCTACAGTTATCATGTTTGTACCTGTGCTTCTGACGCAATATTAATACATCATGATCTCCATCTGTTGAAGTACTCATGGACAATAAAAGCATGAATGAACGGGTGTGTGACATGTGTCAAAGGGCCCAGAGATGACTTAACCGTGCTTACTAATCCCATCCAGCCAGTGTGGGGCGTCTTTCTGCCAGAGCAGCTTGAATAAACGACAATCATTTTCATTCTGTTAACGGGGATCAGTGCCAGAAAGTGACGTTATGATTAACAGGTGCTCAGATCTTATACAAGGGACTCGGCTGCTTAGTTAGGTTTTGGCAGTTAAGTCAACTGAAATTGAAAAGAATCATTCAAGCACAAGCCTGATAAACAGGGAGGATTAATGAATGTATTTTTTTGGTGTAACAGTTCCGATGACTTTTCATTTCAGGTATGCATACATTTATATACGGACATATAACATGTGTGCACACAGTAGCTTTTGTTGACGATCAGGGTTTTTGCAAGTGAACACACACACACACTGAGGCAAAGCAGCTCTTTTCCATTTATCACGACTACAACCATGCTAGCAGCTCTGTGAGGCTGCTTTGGGCTAAATGCTAACGCTCACGATGACATTTTGATGACACAAAATACAGCGGAGTCTGATGGAAATTTGGTCATGAACTAAAGTACTGGACAGTTTAAAATGTTGGCCCGATGATGCCGCTAGATGAAAAGTCAGAGGATCACCAAAGTTGCTGGGAGTCATCCTCCCGGCAACATGAATGTTTGTCCAAGCTTTCACAGCAATTCATCCAATAGTGGTTGAAATATCTCAGTCGGGACCAAAGTGGTGGACCACTGCCATCCCTAGAGCTACACTCAAAATTAGCAATATTAATAGAAAAACAGCTTATTCATTCATAAGCTCTCTTTCCTTTTCCCCCTCCTTCCCCGAGGCCCTTCCATTACCTTGTGCTCTCATTAAGCAGTCAAGACAATGTCCAAAGCCAAAAGCAAAACTGTTCCTGGAAACAGTTGGCAGTTTGGACTTGTCTAGCCGAGACCACCATCGTTTCTCCGACTAGCTACCAGGTCAAAAGGCTCATTCATTCAAAGAGTTTTTATGCCTGCCAGCCAGTCACTAACTCATAAACCCTCATAAAGTCCGTCTACAACAGCCATCAAGTCATTTTATCACACATCTGAACACTTCAGAAAGCGATATAGCTTATTATTTTGGGGCATTTGGATCTCTTCTGTGACTGTTGGGACCCACAATCTAAACCAGCGCCACACCCCTGCCACACACACAAAAAGCATTTCCCAGATGTTACACAAACTTTGTGGATACACCTTTAAGTACACTCTCAGCCCTCGCTGTCCCTGAAAGCTAAAACAAGGTAGTGATGACTTCACTGTTTGCGAAGCAAAGGGAGGGTCGTTAATGTCAAGAAGGTGAAAGGTGAGGAAGCAGGTGTGCTAAAAAATAAATACTCCCCTCTTTTCTCCAGCACACACACATGCAAACAGGAGCCTGTGTGGTCAGTAACGCACAGACACTCTCAGAACATACGCATCGCACCCACACACACACACACACACACACACCGCTGCACAGATTACAGAGTGAATTCCTGCAGCCTGACATCATGCTGCTGTCAATGTGATTGAGGGGGAGAGAAACGCAGATCAAAAGAGAGCAGAGAGAGGGGAGGGAAAGATGGAGGAGCTGCAGTAGATCCTTTGGAGGTTCTGTATGCAGTTTACTGTACACAAAGCGTCCACTAAATCACCATTTTCAAAGAGGGTACTTTGGTGTTTAAATCAACATTTGAGGACTAAATGCTTTCAGGTGGCATGAGTAGATTATGTAACGTTTGTAAAACCTTTTCAAAATCACGGCCGGATACACTCTGACATGCAGGGTTGTCTTTTCAACAACTATTAACCTGCATTAGGAGGAGCTGATATATGCGATATATGGATACATACCCAAACGCTGGTTAGCATCCGAGCACATTAGTCTGAGGCCTGAGAGAATTGCTGGTTTTGACATGTTGTGCCTAAAGTTAAGGATTAGTTCTGTGTTTTGGGATATAGACTTCTTGTTTTATGGCCAAAAGTTTTGATACCAGTCTTGTGTCTGTACTGCGAACAAGCTACCGCCAGCAATCTGTTAGCTTAGCACAAAGAATAAGAGATGGGGGAAACTGTCCTCCTGCATGCATAGCCTGTTATATATCTGGACTGTGCTTTGCAGTGAATGTACCACACACGCTTGCATATCGCATTAGTTATTCATGGCATCAGTTATTCATCCGTAATTCTTTACACATTACACATTTCATCCGTGCACATCATTATTCACAACCATTTTCATGTCTTTGCATGCATGCGGAGGCCACACACAGAAAGAGCAGCAGAAAGAGAGACAAAAACAGCAAGTTAAACGTAATGTCAGTGATGATTAGACTGCAAACTAACAGAACCAAAGGAGGTCGGGAAGTTCTGAGATGCAAAATCGCCACTTTTCCTTTTTGGCTCAGTGGAAGGCTCACATTGTGTTGGCTGGGCAGAGTGAACGCATCTTGAAATAAGCTTGAGAAGAATATAAAAGAGTCCATATAATGCATGTTCTTGTTTTTACGGTGCAGGAGTTTTGCATTCAGCTGTTACAGCTAGAGGCGGTGAGCTTCCAGAGCCCATTAATACAGCAGATAAGCCATCTATAAATACAACAGCACCGTGATGTCTTAATGACAAACAGACGTATTGTGTGTGAGTGGTTTCAGATACCATTAAGTGCTCATAAATATGTTGTAGGTTGAATACTTTGGAAGAAGATGTGGGAGTTATTGAGACCAGACTGTACAATTTAAATAGAGCTGTAGTGTTTCTACTTGCGTTGCTCCACTGTGACTGTAATTAAACAGTGGTAAATGCATCAGTAATGCTAACAGCACCCAAAGGGTGACTGTCAGAGAGTAGCACGCAGAGCCGGAGGGGTTTCCATCATCCAGCCGAAAAAAGACGCTTGTGAAATGTTTACAAACAGAGCAGGGGTTGCTGCAGCAACAGGTAGCGATCAGCCTTCAGGCCTCGAGGTCGGACGAGGCGCCATAAAACCGTCGGAGATGTTTCCTGCGAGCATTACCTTCTGCTGGACCGTAAAGCAACAAGAGCAGTGGTTTTGGGAATTCCTCTGCTCTGAAGTCGTCCACAGCTGACAAACAGAGATGTTTCAGCTGAGACGTAGGCCTGCACGCTGTTATTCAAAGCTGCAGAGCTCTGTTCAGATGCCGGTGTGGTGCAGAAGGCATCAAGGCCCCCCTCTCTGCTAGATGATGCAATCCCAGGAAATATTTGGAGTGGCCAGAAACTGTAACAGTGTCAGCTTAGCACATTTCCCCATGTCTCAGAGACGGGGTTCGTATTCAGCAACAATGTAGTTCCACTGTGCAGTTATAAATCTGATCATCGTCAAGAGACGTCTTCCAGCTGGAAATGAAGCAACGATAACACACTTTGCTCGTGCGCGTAGAATTGACCAATCCATGCCAGCAGTCGTCCTAACACACCGTACTGTGCGTGTTATAGATCTGTTGTTTAGTTATCTCTTGTCATATAAGAACATATATCTTTCACCAGGGGGCGCCATGTTGCCATTACGACTTAAAAACTCTGAAGTCAGTAAAGGTTCCATATGTGCAGAAGTAAATCAACAGAGATACAGCTCCTCAGATGTGAAGTGGGAGCAATGAATCTCAAACAACCAAGTGAAGTAACAATAAGTACAGCAGACATTTGCATGAGTTTACAATGTGGGAGGAGAGCCAGGTCTGATGTTAAACCATGAAACTGTAAACTCTCATGCACACACTTGCTGTCTGGTTGTTGGTCTGCTTTTGAGCAACAGTGTTGCCATTAGAATGTCTTTCACATGATCTCATGGCTGGCTCCAAACGCTGCGTTTTACAGTGTGTGTGTGTGTGTGCATGACTAACATCTGTAATTGTGTAAGTCTTCACAGTGTATTAGTGATTTACCTCGTGCCAAGGTCTTCACATATAACAAGGCCAAGCTGGCGAAAACAAAGACAGCAGCACAGAAGTTCGGTGATCTCTCAACCAGAACTGAGACCGAGTGACTTTTTAATGGGGCCAGTAATTCTGTAAATCAGGACAACCCAACACGAGGCACATGAAGTGGACCTCATTCTCTCACTGTTGCTCTTTGCATCTATGTATAGCCCTGCTGGACTCCGCTTCCAGCCTCTATGCATGTTCTAAACACGCCCAATATATTTGATATCCTGTATCGACTTTCATGCCTTGGCAGGTGCTCCATGCTCAGTGTCATCAGACTGTAACCTTGTCTGTTTAGGAGCAGGTGATGATGAGAAAGGGAGGATGGGGTTTGAGTTGGCGATAGTAATATCACACGTATCACACCATAAGAAGGGTCATCCGGTTCAGGGGCAGGCTGGCTTCGTCTGGCAGGAGACTCTAAAGCTGCATGAAGAAATATTAAAGTCATTTACAACTAAAACTGCTTCTGATTCTTTAGCTTTTTTGCACTATTTGTTTGTTAAATTGTGATCCGAGTACTTACTTTCTTTGAAAAAAAGAAGAGAAGAAGAAGCGCTGCCAGAGCTGCATAATTGTGTTCCCTGTGAAATTAAATTGCCTTCGTTCAGGTTGATAGAAAGAGTTGTTTCCCCCCGATTAGGCAACATTTTAAAAACATCCAGATCATTTTCCCTGTTTTAAAATCCAATCCTCTGTCCCCCCCCCCCTCCAAAGTGTCCTGTGTGTCCAGACAGATCCGATGGTAGGAAGGTGTGAATATCTGGAGTGATCTGTCACCACAAGGGCCACCAGGGGAGAAGACAAATCACCTACAAACCCCACTGTCCTGACACCATGATCCCCTCCGCTTCATCCCAAACATGTACACACAGATAAACAAACACAGACAAAACACATCAAAAGAATAGCAATACGAGGCACAAACACGTTGCTTTTACCGACAAACCCGGACTCATAAATACTAGAAACCATCCTGCGAAGGGATCACACCGGCTGCGACACTAGATCAAGCTCTCCAGATTTTTCTACCCATTTAATTCCGGCTCCTTTGCTCGGACCAAACCCATCTGTGGCCTTCATTTTGATCTCATCTACACACCAGTAGAGTTTTGTGCATCTTGCACGGTTCTGTCCACAGGCAAAGTACCCGAAACCTCTTCCGTGGTAGTTCCTGCTACATTAGGTGTCTCCAGGTCCACATTTAGCCAATAAGACACACACACACACACACACACACACACACACACACACACACACACACACACACACACACAGACTCACTCGCTGTCACAGCTGGTAAATATTGCCACTACACCGGCAGATGTTTTTGCCGGACAACGTGTTTTTAAGTCAGGTTGCCTTCTTATCTAACAGGAAGTTACCTTTTTCCAGCTTCCTGTGGAATTCATGCAGCCTGGATTCCACAGGAGGAGAATAAAAGGGTGTTCTCATTAGTACAGACATTAGCTATAAAGATTTGGATGTGTTCTCCTTTCTAATCACTGGTTTTAATACTTCAGGCTATTTGACCGGTTCAGAAATCAGCAGAGGGACACAAGCTTCAGATATGCATATTTTATTGAAGCTGACTGATGAGTCAGAGCCACATGTGGCATTTAATTAATCTCAGACCCGCACTTGCAAGAGGCGGGACACCAAGAGGCCACGTCGCCGTTTGTGCAGCCCCACTGCTCCTTCAGTTCAGCACAGTTGCTGTACTGGTCAGTGTAGGCACAGGGGTTGGCTGCAAGAGACGGAGAAAAATAGATGTGTGAATATAAAACTAAACATAACCCAGGAGCGCTCACTAGTCAGAGTCCACCAAGCATCCTAAAATAGATGAGGAGGTTCAGCGTTTGCCACTTACTGCACAGTTTGTTGTCGCAGGCGTTGCGGCAGTCACCACAGGAGGGTCCTGTTGTGTAGGGGCGAGAGTACTGGAGGTTTCCGCTGTAAAATAGCCCAAAGCATCAAATATTAAACTGCAATGCACATACTGTATATATTAGGACCAAACATGTCACAGGCGGAAAACCACCCTGAATAACTATTTAATGACTATTCAGTGATGTGTAGAAGAAGAAAAAAGAGAAAAATGTATTGTACTCACGGTGGGCAATACTGGCAGACGTAAAAGTACTTGTAACTAGAGTTGGGACAGTAGGCCACAGCACAGCCGACCTTGTTGGACCTGTACCAGACAACCTGTGCAGAGAACAGGATCAGTGTTGGCCCATAGCAATGCAAGTTAGTCATAATTAATAAGTGCTGTTCAGGCCTCAGTGCACCTGTGTGAAGTGTCCGACGACTCCTCCATTGGTAGATCCCACTCCGTAGCGCCAGTCCTTCACCTCGTCATACCAGTCCTGGATAGCGTCGCTCCAGGAGTCCTGCTGGCTGGACATGTACAGGTTCTCTCCACAGCCGCTAGCTGCAGATAACGAGGAGAGAGAGGTGTACTTCATAAAGACCATCATGCATGTGCACTCAACACATGATCACACAGGAAATTGATCGTCTTCACTGCACACTGTCTTTGGGGGAGCCAGGACATTTAGTTGAACCCTGACCCGGACATTTTGCCACTTTATGTGTGACTCACATACATTAAGTTACGAGCTATACAACCTCCCCCCCCAAACAATTAAATAATACAGAGGTTCTTGTGTTTGTAAAATGACAGTGTGGCTGACTTTTTGTAAAGTCCAGCTGCAAAACAAAACAGAGCAATGAACTTACTGCTGATCACTCTGTTGCTGTCCGGGCTGTGCTTCATGGAGCAGGTGTTGGCCCATCTCTGAGCGTTGGCTGCAGCCTCGCTGCTCCAGCTCTGTGGGGAGCAGAGGGCGGATCAGCCGGTACTATACATGGACCAGTACTGTATATATGCATCATTTTATCTTTTACTCATATGCTGCACGACGGAACATGTTGTATCAAATCAAGCACTCGATCCAACGAGAATCAATGCGCAGAGTCAAAATCAGTGAAGCACACTATTCCTTTGAAATTATGAAGTGATTTGAATGCATCATCAGGATGTTACCATCTCCAACATGTTGCTAGCAGTAGGCTGAACACCTCTTCTCAGTTGGTTATGCTTGTTCACAATCTTAGTCGGGTTAGTTTGGACTGTGGACAAGTTTGTGGATTCTTCTGCGGGGCCTAAACAACCAAAAAACAAGATTTTCAGAAGTGTGAGTGCATGATTATAATAAATAATAATATTAATGATAATATAATAGTGCTAATTTCAAACACTCACCTCCCTTCAGGTATGGTTTTCAGAGAGGGGAGAGAAAGAATGGTTGGTTAATTCCACATTCGTAGCAAAAATAACGTACGTTTAGAAAAATGCTGGATTTTTAAGACGACGTAACACAACAGTCAATATCATTTCCTATTAGAGATGGAAATTGATGTCACTTACCAGCCTGGAACCAAAGGCCAAGGCAGCGAAGACGCCCAAGGCGCACAGGACGGTCAAAGTGTACGTAGTCATCGTTGAGTCCAGGACTGGTAACATCCAAGAGCCACAGGTGTTGCTTATATACGCAGCACCGCACCAACACATGACAAACTAACATACAGACTGGAGGGCAACGTGGCACCTGTGAGATGCCCTTGATGAGGTATGGAAAGCTGCAGGTCTGTGTTTATGTACGTACACGTGTCCATGATAACTGTGGTAAAGAGGCATGACCTTCTTATGTGGCAAGGTTATGAGAGGGTGCGCAATGTCAAATGGGACATGCTATCTAAACTATACCTTGATAATGAAAAGGTTAAACTAACGTTGGGTGCATTGATAAGATTTAGCTAGAGTCAATCTCGTGATGCAGCCGCGAACCAGGGGCGTAAAGTGGCTCCTTCCCCACGTCTTACCCCCGTACTTCGGGCACCCTTGCTCGGATGACACCCATCTTCAAACTCTGAACTACACAGCTGTAAAGTTTCTTGACTGCAGTTTGCATGATGCTATCTTTCTGTCCTGACAAAGTACTCGCACCTCGTCTGTGGAAGTTCCTGCTACAGTAGTTGTACTTTTTACAACGATGGCACAAACAGACTGACATAGTGAAAACAATATCGGCGTCGCTGGCAGTTTGCGTATTATATGTAAGTTATTTTTATTCTCTTTATTCAGTGGATAATGGTGATTCTTAACATCCAGTGTCCATCATACATTCTGTTAATGATAATTCTGTATGTTACAGAGCTTGCATGGAGCCTTATTTGGGACCCTTGGCTCTGTTCAGCCAGCAGAGGGCAGCACTTTTTTAGTTTTGGGAGTGGCCTTTTGGAGTTTTTGTCCTCAACAACAATGCATATTTGTTGAGTTATGTTTTGACTACTCAGTGTGTTTATTAAACTTTTGGGGCTAGTTTGGTTCAGTGGCCTGAAAGTGCAAAACACAACGATATTTCTCCCAACGGATTTAACATTTCACACAATAGAAATAGGATTCCTTATTTACAAGACACGGAATAAAATCAAGATGGGTAAAGCTGGCGTCCTGCAGACGGCTTGTATGCCTGAAATGTTGTGTTTTTACAAATGAGTAAGAGCCATGGATTTTGACATAGTAGCTATACCGTAGATTTTACGAGGAAACAGCTTCCATCACCTGGCCAGGATGAAAACATGCATGTCCCTCTCATGTCTCAAAGCAACGTGGGCTCAGTGGGCCCCTGACTGCAGATTAGAGAGTCAGCTGGTCAGCAGGCTGCCACTTTGTCTGCAGTAATTGCGTTATATTATTCTATAGAAGTAAATGTACTCATCCGTCTCACCAACCAGTATAGAAACAATTATATCCGAGTATGTCTGTTCAGCTAACCTCTGGCCTTTCCCTTAATGTCCGCCAAGAAAAGAATAACAGCGACTGCTGCACTAGCAATACTCTGTTCCCCTTCAGATAGACAACGACAAAAGAAAGAAGTATCAGCATGCACTCGTTCATCCACTGGTGCATTCTCAGTATGTCCACCCATCGGAGTAGTGACAGACTGTAGAGAATTACAGGGTCACAGCATCCATCATCTGGTCCACATGCTGTCACACACAACCTGCCTCTCACTGAAAGATTAACTCAGAAGTGTCGGTCATTGAGTCCTGTGTTGACTCAGAGTGTGTAATTCTCTAGGTATCACAGTCACAGTCAGCTCCAAGCTGTATTATATTAAAGTTTTACAATTAAATCTGTATATCAATACATGCATATACATTAATATGCATCATTAATTAATCACGTCAGCCAACATAAAGATGGCGATGTTGGTCAGTCTACCACTTCAGTCTGGACTGAAAAGTCGTTCTTTTTTTGATTGACTCCCAGAGGATGAAGGCAACTTACTTCGGTGAACATCTGGCTTTTCCTCTAGCACCTCCAGCAGGCTGACATTTGTGGCTTTGACAGCAATATCTCCAGAACTATTGAACGGACATGAAATGTGATCGTAACACAATCCAATGAGAATAGTTGCTTGAGTTTGAACTCAAATAATCTGTCTTTGGGGACATACAATATGAAGTCACAAACTAAACAGAAATGTTATGATGTTTCTTATTATCTCCTAAGCTAATTACTGCTGCGTCTCCTCCTTTTAGCCTGTAATCCAATCTGTCCAGTAGCCGACAAACCCCTGGGCTAAAATTAGGGGTCATCCAATCCCCTGCACAGTAGAAGTGAGACCAAGGCAAGAGCTGAGGCATCGGGGAACTGTACTGTAGTCTGCTGCATTCGTCCTTCAGCTGCCAAGCTTTCATTTATCGAGTGATAAAGGGGTTTCCCACCGATCAGCCTACATCACAATCGGCTTGTAATTGAGATTCCAAAATGAGGAGGAATTCAGAGCTGTCGCTTTAACAGCAGTGAGTCTCTTCACCGCCTCCAGACACCAACACACTGACGTCTGAGGAAGTTTAATATCAGTTCATCTGCAGCTGTGTGTTCCAGATGTCAGTGTTGTTGGAACTGTTAGCTTCACTCTAAAGAAAAATCACATTTGTTATAGTTTGCTTTTTTCTGAAGTGTTCCTGGAGCTGTTGGTGAAGTGCATTGTGGGAGAGCACAGCTATAGCTTCCTTAAAACACTTTATATTTAAACTTCCTCATCCAGGGAACAACTCTCAATTGAACTCATCAAAGAACACTAAAAATGATAATTAAATGTAGGCTTCCATCTTTTTGTCCCTGCAGGTTTGCCCCCAGCCCAGTTGCCCAGCAACCGCCTCATTAAGATGTGCGCTGAGTCATGCTTGCGTCTTTTCACAAGTCATATGCTGTTGTATACACACACTACAGTGTGCCACAGTCTCAAGGATAATGCCAATCAGCAAAACAATTAGGTGGACTGTATTGAATTTCCAAACAAACAGGTAGATGTGATTTGTTTATAATGAGCAGTTTGTGCATCCAAAATGTCCCCCGTCGCTTCCTGTTGGCACACTATTACGTGGGATCAAGATCTCATTATAGGAATATCTTGAGGGGAAGTGAGGTGATTGTAATATTGCCTGCGATGGTCAGTCAGTTTAATCACATTCGGAGCTCAGACGTCTGTGATTTGCCGCTTCATCAGCTCAGCACACACTGTGAGGATTTTGATAACCCGATCGATCGCTTGCTTTGTACCACAAGAGACAGAGTTTGTCCCAAGGTAACCGCAGAGTGAGAGGTTCTCTGGCTTGTTCTCTAGCGTTTTTTAATATTCAGCTGCTTCCAAGCAGCAAAACAACATTTCTCAGTGAGCTGATTCATGTTTTCTCTTTCAGAATAATCGGTGTACTTTAGTCATACACGCTTTGCTGCGATTCTGTTCTTTGGCCGAGGATCGGTGCATTGTTACACTATGAGTCATCAGTGCAACGTGTAGGCCTACATCAGGTGGAAACTTTTCCTTCAAGCCAGCTCTCTCTCAGGATACATTTTGGATCTCTTTTGCACATTGGACGACAGCAGACCTTTGTTTCTAGATCATGTCGTGCACAATTTCTCGGCAAACCGGTGATTCGGGTAGAAAGATGCTAAAAAAGAGGATGCGAGGATATTTTGAAATAAAAGCACGTCACTTCCAGGATGAGCTACACAAAGCCGCAGTTCATCCTGCACAATTTCCACGGCAAACTCTGGAGCACTATTGTGGCTTTGGCCTCCTGCACTGCCTATGAGTCATCTTGGCAGATGGGTGTAATGCACCCTCCTTCACCCTCACCGACACTATGCGCTGTCGAGCCCTGGGCCTCCTCCCTGCAGCACTGCTGCCAAACACAACCCCACTCTGAACAAATCACACCCATTTAAAAGATTTCCCAAATCTGTCCAGTGTTGTTTGGACTAAAGTGAGTAAATTAACTGTCACAGGCTGCAACGCTGACTGTGACACGCCTGTCCGTCCCTCTTCTGTTCCTTTTGCTCTCAACATGTCTCTTGAATAACAGGGAGCAGGGAAAATGTTAGTGGGTCAGCAGAAAATAGCCTGATAATTGACCCTGTCATTTAGCGAATGCGAAAGCTACGCAAAGTCACAGCGCCATGCTAAGCCCTCTCCTCTCAGCCGGGTCTGTTTCTGGAGCAACAGCAAGCACAGAGTGGGGCAACAATGGGGGCTTGTGCTCCAAGAGCAGTGCTCCCAGCAGGGCTTCCTTGTTTACTCTTTCTCCGGTGCATATTTAGCATCAAGCTGCCACCTGTGTCGCTTTATCCAATCATGTTTCATATGCCAAGAATTTCACAGCCAAAGCCGAGTCCCTGGTGGGAATACGACGCAGAAATAGCAGCGAGATGTTCACGTTGGCATGATTCAGAGCTCTGTAAGGAGTTCCTTTACATAATGTATGGCTACAAAGCAAGCTATGCTAAGGTGCACCCATGGAGAACATGCAATGCTTGGGTGCAAGTTTACTAAACTTGTAGTTTTTCATCAGTAGTTTATAACTGCATCTAGTGTGCTAAGAAGGTGATAATAATGCTATATGATATATACTTTTTTAAAGGAACAGTTTACGATATTTTCTTTCTTGCAGAGTTAGGTGGGAAGACTTATACCACTCTCACATCTGTTTGGTGAATATAAGGATATAGCCAGCAGCTGGTTAGCTTAGCTTAGCTTAGCAGAAAGACTGGAAACAGGAGGAAACAGCTAGCCTAGCTCTCTCATTTGATTCAGCCATTAAAAAACAAGGTGTAAATACAACAGAGTCTCTGACAGTTTCAGGAAGTTACCGCTCCCTTTCAAGAGGTACTCTGGCGCATAACCCCCAATAAACAACGACGTGTTTATTAGTGAGCTCTAGAGATGCTGGTGGGCGTATTTTGTTGCCATTGGACAGAGCCAGGCATTTCCATCTGTTTCCAGTCTTTGTGCTAAGCTACGCTAACAGCAATCGGCTGCTTAGAACTGCCACATCGTTGTAAAATGCAGCATTTGGTTTCGCTTCCAGATCTGACCTCTGATCCCAGACCAGCACACTAACTGTGACTTATTGACCAAATGCTGAATATTCGTATGTGATGAGTGGTATTTCCTCAAAGAATTCATATTAAAGTAGAACAGAACTCGACAGTGTTGAATGGTAATCGGTCTGACATGCAGACCAGTCAACAGTGGCTGAGGACTTCATCGTGCACATGCTCCCCGGCCATTTCTGCTGCATCATGGAAAGCATCGGCCCCGACTAACAGCTTGCAGAGGAATCTTTGTGGTATATTTAACAAAGAACATAGGCACTAAATAAAGTAAAGGTGGTGACACACTGACAAATCCGAGCTACGTAGGATGACTTTAATACCATCCGGAGATTTAAGCACATCTTTTGTTCAAGAAGTGAAAGGCTAGAAATATGGAATCATAATTATTCTACCATCTCCTTTTTATTTCTGATGCAGAACGGTGCTTCTGATACTCTCTGCTGGCTCTCTTCCTGTTTAGTTATTCTTGTCACAGCATGTGTTGCGTGTGGAGTGAAAATAGTAAATTTGTTTCTCTAAATCTACAGAAGAGCAGAACTTAGACATAACACAAAATTGGTTTGAGCTGTTTGACTGCTGTTAAAGGAAACATGTAAAACTTCAAAGCCAGTTCAAAGAGTTTGCAGCGTTTCTCCTTTTGAATTCCACCATGTTGCATTTCCACACACAACGTTTGAGCCTCCAGCTATCATCCCCCTCTGATAGCTTTCAATGCAGAGCAGGCAGCCGTCCATCCCCAATGCGCCATGCAGCACGAGCATTACTCACTTTTACACCGTGTCTGCCGCAGCAGCAAGCGGCTTAAAGATATGTATGTGAATTATTTATGCGCCTGGTGTCAAGTTGTGTCTGTATTAATACGCCTGGGGAGAAGGCTCTGCTGAAGTAAGGTGTCAGCACTGACTATCCACATTGTGTTTAATCAAATCATTTGAGCTGACACTGACAGCTTCTCACTGATAGTCAGGAAATAGCCCGTTCTTCCCGTCAAAATCTGACTGAATCGCACGCTTTCCCTTCTTTATATTCACATGTCCCTGATCATCGTATCCTTGTCTTCAGTTGCTCTCATGGGAACGGGTTCTGCGAAAGCACCTTCCAGCTGGTCTTTCAAAGCCCACCCCGCTGCACAAACTGATCTCAGTGGGATTATTTTGACTTCACGTCAGAGAGACTAATGTGGGACAACATAGTGCGTTTCTCTCCGGGTATATATATAGTGCTCTTTTCCCAGAGCTGTGAGCGGCTGGTATTCTGTGAGAGAAACAGGATCCACGGGACTGAAACAAGTCACTGTTTCTGCAGCCAAACGCCATGTGTCCCTCAGTCAACGCTGCTCTTGTACTGGGTGACCCCGCCAGAACAAAATCGGCTTGTAGATGTTTTATGGCGAAGCAAATGCATTCAACACATTTTTGTAGACCTCAGGGAATCAAACTAGACTTTCCTTTATGGATGTATGGGGCAGGACAAGTAGCCTTATATGGTATTATTATTACGGTATTACAGTCTCACTTTTTTAATTTCTTTTATATTCAACCGTTATTTTTCCGGTATAGTACCACTGAGATTTAAAATCTCTTTTCTGAGGGAGTCTTGGGCAAGACGGCAACATGAAAGTTTCAAACATAAAAGCACAAATAATAAAATATCCTTGACACTTTTTCTGCCCCAGCTTCTTCTATTAATTCAAATTAATAACAAAGTCCAGCAGCTTTGAATCATAATTTGATGACAGCTGAATGGAAAGAGACATATTAAATGTACAAGATATTTAAAACATGATACAATTCATTATTCTGGGCACAGCTCACCTCAACAACTGATCTCATCGACTCAGGGATTCTGATTAGCCTGAACCAGGTTTCACAACACCCTGATCCAAAAATGTAAAGCAACACTTTATTTATTCTCCCGGCACCCCTCCAGCACAGAGCTTTGGTGTCCTGCTCAAGGACACTTCAGCAGACCTTTGGTGGTTACGAGGGACCGCCGCGGAATGTCAGTTACGACCCATGAGCTTCACCCCAACCGTCTCCTCGTATCATGTGACTGTTATCTGTTTTGTGGCGCAAAACAAGACATGATGGGAATATGAGAGCAATAAACCGTGGGAAAGTTCCGTTAATCCGCACTAGAAGCAACTTAAAACTCTTTTTCCAGGGATAGTTTAAACTCCTGGAGGATGAAAAAGCAAGTTTGATCTATTTTTCAGGGGTTAACCAGGAAGAGACTTGCTTTGATTCGTTCACACACACATTCTCTCATCCTATCGTGACACACACCACCAAGTTCTCCCCATTAATGCATCAAACACCGTCAATAGAGCCTCAGAGCCAGATCTTCTAATCCGACCTGCAGCTGGGGAAGCTCAAGGTGCCAGCAGGTTCAGCCTTAATGCGTGTCTTGTTTAATGATCTCTGCCCCACTTCCCTCAAACTGTCAATCACGCTGAAACAAAAGGAGTTTGCAGCAAGTCGATCTGCTGCAGAGAATTGAATAGAGGTTAAATTACTTTGAATGCCAGTGCGTCCCCGTCATGTTTAACACGCGCTGTTGTGACCATAGACGTCACACTTCAACCCTCATGACCCCGCAGACACCATTCACTCTAAACCTGCTGATCAATCTGTTTGTCAGCCGCCTTGTTGTTGGCTCACGGCAGATTACGAGCACCAGAAGGCCGCGTGTCTCTCCGCCCCGCTATGATACGTACTTAAACAGATTAACCTGTCACTTCTAGTGACATGCCAAACCCCAAGCCTTTTAAAGCTGCATCTGGAGCGTGCTGGGGTGTCCTTCTGTCTGCCCAAATATTTACTCACAGGAGGGAAGTTTGTCTGAAATGGAAGCTTTAACACCTGTTGGTTCATTTTCTGTTTATTGTTGTCTATTAAATGTCAGGAAAAAAAAGGGGAAATGGCAACGCGGCATCTTCAAATTGCTTATTTTGTCCAACAAACAGCCCAAAACCCAAATGTATGATTTAGTATACAGAGAAAGCAACTATAAATGCAACTGTAAGCTTCATTTATTCATAGCCTGTGAGGAACTGCAAACCTGAATGGATGGTGATAGACAGTGAGAGCTATGCTAATACTGTCTTTTACATGCTTACCACCACATACCAACACATCATCAAACTATGGACGACATCCAATCTGACCAGCGTGACCTTTTTTTAAAAGGAAACGTGGAAAATAATAACGTCTGCGTCCGAGTTTTACAATTAATCTCAAGTGAAAATGCTTTATTGGCCAGACATGTTACTGTTGTCTCTCCCACTCCCCTGAGTGCGTTTCCAAACTGAGACACGAGTGCAGGCCTGGTAACTTGACCCTCACCCTGTCCTCCCTGCACTAGAAGCTGTACGACGAGCTGCCCTTTGGAAGTTCCCTGGCTGCAGCCAATACTACCCGTCGTGCGACAGACAGTATCACCGCAGAGGAGCGGGTGAATTATCACCAGGGCTTTGATGTGGTGGGCAGATTGACCACGGGGTGCGTTACCGTCGCCAGGGAACCTATCGTGTTTGCACTCGTCAGCAAATGCTCTTGAAACGCATCGGTGATTGACTGTGAGTGTGCAAAACTCAAGTATGACTTTGAGCTCGAATGCAGCTTTCTCAGCAGCGCCATGTGCAAATGAAAGATGCATCACATTTGTTATTTAGATCTCTTGTCTCCTAGCAAAATATATTCAACCCAATTAGAGCAAATTGAATCCAGTTAGATTAAAATGAGATCAGCAGACATTCCCTGTGACCCCCCCCAGAGCCTCCTGTGGTCTCTCTCTTCTGGTGTCTAATCTCTATATCTGTCTAATTAGCGACAACCTTGCAGAAAAGCTGCCACAACGCAGATTACATACCGCTCACTTAGTGTTCTGTAAATCCACTCAGCATTTCAGTGCATCTGTACTTTAAGATATTGTTCACGAAGGCAAACTGCACCATGATCTGTATGTTTGCAGACAAATAGAATATCCAGATTTTTGTTTAATTAAATGCATAATTAATGAATAGCATGTTGAATATTAAAATAGATTATATTGCCAGACTGAACAGCAGTGATTTTTTCTTTTTAAGTCATGTGATTCTCTAAAATGCTGACTAACCTTCAACACACAGAGATGCATATTTGCCTCCAAGATGAAAGATGAATATTGGGCTCTGTCAGGGTTTGAGCATGAACACACACACACACACACACATCCTCGGCCACACAGAGCCTCCCAAAGCAAAAGCCTCAGTCTTACCTCTTGCAGCGAAGATGTAGCCCACTGTGCTGTTGTGCCTCTGCAGTGCCACCGGCTGTGTCTTCAACCTGCCGCCTCCGATGAAGCGGTATCCTCACTGAACGTTTGCTCCTCTCTCCTCCCCGGCGTTTCTCTCTCTATTCCGTCGCGTCCTCAGCTGGCCTCTCGTACAATCCAGGTGGTCTGATGAGGTGGGAGAGAAGAAGAGGAGCGTGTACTGACAGACCGGGGGAGCTGCTGTGTGTGTGTGTGTGTGTGTGTGTGAGAGAAAGAGAGAGCAGAGGGGAGAGAGACACGACCTGTCATGCAGATATCAGCCCTGTTGCAGTTAAATTTAAACCACCCTCCCTTCTGACACCGTGAGCCACGGCTGCTCTCTTTCGCCGACACACACACACACACACACACACACTCGGACACAAGCACACACGGAGCTCTGACGGTACCATATGGCCCTTGACAGAAGACTGAGCCCTTGGGAGTCTGTGACTGTCCCCGAGGACACAAAGAGCGAGGGGGGTGGAGGGTGGCAGGAACAATATTTAGACAGGATATTTTTTCAGTTGTTGGTGGGAAAATAAAATAAAAAATGTCCCCCAAAACTGCTACGTCATGCATTCCCTATACCCTGCACTGTTTGGGTACAAAATGATGTCACATGATATATTATATCTGAAACTAACATATCTAATGCATGCCACTGTCTTAGGGATGCATCATGGTGGATATGTCTTGATATTACTGTCACTATGGACAGTTTAAAACTAAAAGAAACCTTTTTAGTTCATCCCATTCATTCTTCTTCATTGTCAAAACCTGGGGGCCTACATTACCCACAATGCAACTCAAGCCTTTAGTGTGTAATGCTAGTAGAAGTAGCAATCGAGCAGACATATCTGACTCCACTCCCCCAGATTTGTTCCAATGTTCAAACTCGTAGCTTTCAGCCCCAACCGACGCCGACTCAAGTGACATCACTTAAGGCGATTCAATAGATTTTGCGCAGTTGCTTCTGGAGCCACAAAAAGGCTTCATACGACCCACACATGTCGTACCACGCCCTAAGAGATGGAAGCAGTCTTTCATGTGTAGAGTTCCCCTTTAACAACTCGTTTTTTTTCAGCTTGGAGTGGAGTGTGTACCTGGCATTTTAAGAGCTGAGCGCTGCACCGGTTACTTTGTGATGCAGTCAGAGAGTCACAGACTGTTGAGTCACAGACTGCAGCGTCTTTCTCTCAGCCGACGTCAGAGCCATAATACAATTATGGGCATTGTTCAGCTTTAGAAGGCATGCAGAGCTTAAATGAACTGCTTTTAAATGATTTAGTTTTATATTCAAAGCCTGCTTTTATTTCCTGGACAAGACAAAATATCAGACGAAGGTCACCAAATAAGGATTGACCTGTATACATGTGTGAACGTGACTCCAGAGTCCTCCAGCTGTCAGAGGTTCCTCTCCTTGACACGCTGCCGTAAATCTCCAGGTCAACTCTCTTTTCTTTTACCTTTATTTACCCAGGTGTGTGTGTGTGTGTGTGTGGCATGGATGTCAATGTTGAGTGCTTTACAAATACTCTTTTACGCACTATTAACTCCCCTCATTGCAGTTTTGACGTTGTGAATTGGGGAGAGTTGCTTATTCTGTGGTGATTATAGCGTTTACTGCTCCTGCTGGATACAGTACAATGATTAAGGAGGTTCCAGTGAAGATAAAAGCTGTTTGTTGTATTTTCACACTCAGCAGAGCTCTTCAGATGAACATCGTTGGGGAGAACTTTTATGGAGTGTCTTTGTCGGATGAGAAAACGTCTGCAGGAAGCAGAAAAACAAAACCACAATTAAGGATTTACGTATGTAGAAGACTTTACAAGTGTTTTAATCATTGATGCCACATTGAGCCACAATACGGGCAGTCTGGTGTTAATGAGCAACCGTATTTATGTTGTTTTGTTAATACACAGCCTTACTTATGTATGTTATGAAAGTAAAATTCCATATTTAATGTAATCAAGCATGCAGGTAAAAGCACATAAACAAACCCTTAGAGAATCACAGACTTTATATATTTATTGTGGGAGGAGTAGGATTGAATTAGCAGCTCAAACACACATTATTATCAGGTCCAGACGTTTCACAGTGTACGACCCACGCAGGCTGGTCTGAGGCCAGCTGTAACTTTACTCCGGTCACTAATCACAAACATCACAAAATTAACCTCACTGACAGCTCTGAGAGCAGCACGACAGAAAGCCCCGAAGTTTCCAACGAGCCATCTCTCATCACCCACGGACGGTTATGAGTGTGTGTGTGAGTATCCTGTTACTTTACTCTCATTCTATCACTACCATATTCAGTCACGTAGTTTGTTTACTTTGAGGGGTTTTTATATAGTTTTTACTCCAGTTTTTTTCTCGAGTGATATCAGGAACGCCTTGAGGGAATTTCTTCAAATTCACAATCGTCCACTTGGACTCAAGGATGAAGTGATTAGAAGTTTGATGGTTAAAGGTCAATGTGACCATGAGAAACAGTTCACAACTGGAAGACATTTGCAACCAGTGATGAGGGATCATAACAAGACATTCCTTTATTATTAAGCCAAACCGCTGCTCTGAACACATGTTTAAATGATCCGTTTTACAGGTCTTGCAGTAAAAAAACTCTAAAAAAGCGTATTTAATCTGGTTCAAATAATCAACATGATAAAAACAATGATTTTCATATGCGACACAATTTGTTTCTTTAATAAACAGTCTCACGCTAACTCTCTGTACTGAACTGCAGTAAATGACGTCATTTCTCCGTCTTTGTCAGAGTCTCTCAGTAAGTCTGGGCACCTGTCTCTGTGCTCCTCCCTGTGTCTCACATCCACAGAGGATATAGAGAGGAGTGAAACTGGAACGTTTGGTTAAGAGCTTCTGGCTGAGGAGCTGAGAGAAAACAGCCTTTAAAGATATGTTTTGTAAAGTTATATACATTCTGGAGACACTGCAGGTGAATATTGACATCTTAATTCCTCTTTGAGGACAAAACACAGTTTTCAGTGACAGCAGGAGTGGTCCCAGAGGACCACCCGCTGAATGTTTCCTCCCAGTTAAGAGCAGATACACGGGAGGAAGAGACTCTTACACCGGAGAGGAATTGTCGGTATGAAGAAGATGATAAAAGTCATTTTAAATTTGATTTTTATTGAGGAATGATGTGTTAGTGCAACGTAAAACCATGCAAATGTTTTCCACTCAGCGCGATGCCAAGGCAGTGTCACAACGCACCAATCTATCCCACACACTCCTCGACCTCTCCCTCGGCATTATGGGAGCAGGCCGTTTAAAAGCAGAGGTATTTACGACTCAGCACTCTCCTCTAGAGTTCCTGGAGCTCCAGGAACATGCGGGACTGGCAGTGTGACACCACCGGCTCGCTTTAAAGATAGAATTAGTTAGCTATCTGGCTATTTTGTATCGGGGGGGGGGTCCATCTGTCTGTCTGTCTGCACACCTGTCTGTCTGTCTGCCTTGTGCAGTTAAAGCAGGACCGGAGAGAGAACTGGGACTGTGAAACGAACTCAGCATGACTTTAAGAGAGAAAATCAAACACACGAGAGCTTCTTATCTACATTTGGATGCTGATAACACTATTATTTCATAGATTTTGATCTTAATTGTGTTTAATTGTGATTCCCTAAGCATTTAGATTAAGTACTTTGTTTAAGTAAAAGCAACAGTTAAACATTGTGAAAATATTCAAGTACATGTCAAAGTCCTGAATGTACTTGACCGTATTTTACTGTTGTAGCTGTTTGACGCATATCTAATTTAAATTCATGTTTATTCTTTTAGGTATAGTTTGAGCCATAAAAGTTTTAAAATGCTAATATTTAATAAGAGAAGCATATTTTTTTAAATGTACAATTTGAATTTGCAGAGTAACAACCACTGTCTTATGTGTCCAATAAGGGCACAGTATAATTAGAGTATAATATTTGCCTCTAAAATGCAGTAAAAGTATGAAATAACACAAAATGTATTGCACTGTAAAGTACAAATACCTCAAAACTTAAGTACAGTACTTGCTTTCCAGTTGGTCTAGTAGTGGTAATATAAGTACTGCTGGTGATGCAGTTTACATCATTTAAAAACGAGGGGTCATTATTCACTTTCAACTGTGTGTAGTTTTTAAAAGTTGTGTAAAAAGTGAAACATTTTATTAACTTCACTGCCCTTTTTTGACCTGATATAAATACAGAAATGTGTTAAAACTTTCAAAAACTTCTTCCTGCTAAAATAAAAGGATATGTCGCCATCTACTGGTCAAGAGGAGTAATCACACAACTTTTGGCCACAGGTGAAAACAATGATGCCGTGATTTTTAAAACGCAGCGACTCCAGCTGTCCAAACAAAAAGGGAGCGAGGAGGAATCATCAAACAGCAGAGAAGACGAACCTGCAGCTTGTTGAACGGTGAACATGTCGGACAGAGTTTTCGAACTTCTGAGAGAAAGCCATCTTTCGCTGAATCCCATCCCATCAGGGCGACAGCTGCCCAGGACTCCTCCTCCTCTGACGGGTGTGAAGGAACAACTCCATTTGTGCAATGAGGATGATGATGAGGAGGTACATGCGCATCGTTTCACTGCACGTCTTTATCACATTGTATGTTTTTATTGGAATTATATATGTAATCCGATCTGTTCTCATCAACAACAGACCAGTAGTCTGGATCCACATCCACACAACAGAACGTTTGATTTCAACACTTTTGGGACAGAATCAGGTACCAAATTATAAATGCAGCACAGACTGATTGTTTTACTTGACGACCTTCAGTATTTTGTATTCCGCTTCATTGCAAATGACTTGGAGAATAAAAGCGTTCTTGGATCTCAGTTGATCTCATGTGTTGAAATGTTCTCCCTGATTTTAATTTTATTGCTCAACAGAACCAGATGACCCAAACTCCATGCTGAAAGGAATGAAGGACTATCAGCTGACACAGACTGACTTGGAGTTTATTGAAAAGATGAGAGTAGAGAAATGTATGAAAAGACTGCAGGTGATTTTTGGCTTTCTCTCTCACTGCTGCTGCTGCTTGATTGCAAAAATGTTCAAATCAGTGTTGCGTCGTGTTTTTGTTCGTATACCAAGATGGTGTTGTACTGATGTTTTGACCGTCCTCAGGGAGATCTGGAGGAAGTGCAGAGGTTGTTAATGAAGGAAATGATGCCGTTAGAGCTGGCGTTGGCTTCCAGGGAGAAGGCACAGGCTGACTTCCAAATGGCGAGTTTGAATGACGATAAACAAGATCTCTAATCTTAAACTTGTGTGTAAAAGTAAAGTGTAGCTTCATTCGTCCTGATAAACCTGTTCTTTCTGTCAGTTCCCGTCCTGTGAAGACCTCACTGAGTGGGTGAAGGTGGTCCTCAAAATGACATCGCCATCAACCGCGTCAACAGACCTCGACGCCAAGTCTCTCCTGGCCACGGTGACGGGAAAAACCATTCGACGAGCCAAGGAGGAGAAGAGGATTGAGCTCACTCAGATGGAGAAGAGGGTGGCAAACAAGTAATTACCAGCTGAGAGAGATGCCACTGAAGGCGGTCAATATCACATTTTTAAGGATAATTTTACCTTTTTAACTGATGTTTTCTATTTCCAACTGTTACGCAAGAAGCCATCAAAATGTCCATCTACATTGTAGGTGTTGTAGCATTTAAAATCCCTCCCAAAAACATGCTAACAAGGATTTCTTCAAAACTTAGAAGGACGAAGGAGGTTCAAGCAAAAGGGCAGCTGGAAAAACAAGTTGCCCATGAGCAGGTAAGAGGGGCTCCAATTTGTGCAACGTTTTATTGTTTCGTGAAGTTATTTTTTAAAGTGTGTTTTGTTCTGCTTCCAGCTGAAGGTACAAGGATTAATGAGTCGGTTATCAGACCTGAAATCTCAACTTTTACAACAAGAGGTGAGAATCTGGTTTGATCTGGTTTCAGAGGTGCATTTTTGGTGTTTGGCTGAGTCGGCAGAAAAGTAAAGCCTGTAAGGACTCTAAAGAATAACTATTGTTTCACAGGATGTCTATAAAGCTCTTGAAATGCAGATCAACGCCCAAGAATCACCAGAGATCACAGCAGAAGAAGCCGCTCCAGAGGAACTGCAAGCCGCGAAAAGACAAGCGAACTATCGAGGAAAGGGAAGAACAAAAGCTCTGGAATCTACTAAGAAGTTGCAAGACACAACAAACCAAAGTAAATCAACAAGGAGCAAACCGAGGGACCGTCGCACCGGTGTGAAAGACAATCATGGAAAGAACACAAGTGGAACTCTGAAGCCCAAACAGAAGGAGACGGCAGCCAGAACTCCATCGCAGGAAGTCGAGACGACCGCACAAGAGTCTGTAGGAGGTGTGAGAGGGAGAAGGAAGCCTCCGGGAACCTCGACTCCACCACTGAAGAATCAAAGTCGTGCAAAAGCTGGGGAAGCCACGTCGAGGCGAGCTGCTGGTGATGCAGGAGATGAGACGCAGCACACTGTTCTGAGGAGGTCCAGGAGGATCGCCAACAGGGCGGCTATGTGTTCGTAGCTTTATATTAGCTGGATTATTATATAGCGTACAGGTGCAATCCTCCACCACGAGGTTGACACTTGTGGTTTTTAGTTGTCTGATTATCACATTTTAATTTTCCCATGATCGTCTTCATTTTGAGTTGTTCCTGAATTAATTCCAACTTTTTTTTTTTTTTTTTTAAATTTTTTTTTTTTATGGATGTTTTAATGTATAAACTGCTGTTTTTAATTAAATATTCATTGTGGCATTACGATACCTTGAAGCTTACGTCTTACAATAAAGTCAGAATATTGCAACTATGACTTGAATTTTAAATGTAAAACCTGATTTGTAAGAGTTTATCGCCTTCTGTAAAGGTGGGGGTCAAAGGTCGCGGATTAATGCACATGAGCCTGAAGCCGACACTCACGATGACCTGGATTAAATGTGATGTTTGATTTGTGGTTGAATAGGAATTGGTCGCATGTCACACATGGGTTTCTGTAGATTGATACTTGATTTAGAGTTCTGTGAGGTTTGGAATTTTTATTTTTTTTTTCTCGTCTGTCGGAGCCAGCGGCCATTTTATCACCTCCTCTCTCTCGTTCACCGTCACGTGTTCGAAATGAGCCGCAGAATCGCTGCAATTTTCCCTCGAGTGGTAATTCGTGGACGGCCGAGCGGCGATTTGGGTGTAACGTTGTTTACCTTCCATTAACTCCCAATCAATCGGTCTGAGCGGGGAAAAGGAAAACGCTCCGTGGGTCTGGAGTGGGAAAACGTCGTACTGACAGCTGGAATGTTTCGAGGCACCTTAAGTTACAAATTAAGTTTGAACTGACGGTCTGATTTGTCCGTCATTTGCCAGGATTTGCTTCTCAAACGTCTTGACAACTTCCTTCTTAACAGCTGAAGTTCTGTTCTGCTTTCCCACCTTGGGTCTTGATCCTTGACTTTTCCTGCAATCTGGGAGGCTCGTTTTTAGTCTGATTGTAATCCCCCAGAACCTGAAGAGGGATTTCCCTTGTCCCCCCCCCTGTATGCGTGGACACATCCATGATTGGTGAGATGTTTTGTCTGATGGTCAACGGCCAAGACCAAAGTAATACAAGCACAGGGTGGGAATCATGGCGCCACATCCTGTCATTACGTTTAATAGTCAGATACCAATAGTCAAACTAATCATGAGCAATGAGTTTATTCTAGAAAGGTTTTAGTTCTCTTGTTATTCCTGCGTTTTCTCCTCTGTGGCTCAGCGTTCCTCTGCTCCTCTTTGCCAAACCTGGAACCCTGAACTGCTTTTCAGTAAACGAGGCATGGGAACGTTACCTCAAATGCGTCAAGCTTCAGAAATCAGATCTTGTTTACGGAAGGAGTCCAAGCAGACGGTCGGCATTCCGGCCCAAGGAATTCTGGGTCATGGATTATAAAGTAATTCCTCATGTCTTTCGCAGTGTGGCTGGATAAACTTCCCCCTGTATTTAGGCACTCCTATAAACATTTCACAGATTTACAAAATATATCAGTAGCCTCATGTTATGTAATTTAGTATATTAAAGGCAGCTTCTTGCAGTGTACAATAATAGCTTATAATAGCTGAAAGTTAATGCCATGATGTAGCAAAACAGACGATAACTGAGGGTGTTTGTGCAGCTACGTTATGAACTGTACCAGTAATACGCTTTGTGCATTTAGCGTGAGCCACCACTAGAGGGCAGTGCTACGGACCCTCAACTTTATATATTTCAAATCTTACATATTTTATTAGCTGTTGACATATTTCTGCTGAATCATATGAGGGGATGAAGTGGGCATAACTTTGCATTTTAGAAAGCTTTTTAACACCTTCAAATCAATGACTCTAAAGAAGAGATGTCAATTCTTTGATAATGTATCAGAATCCTGATGAGATAACAGGCTTACATCTGTTCAAACACCAGTGTAAAGTTTAGAAAGAATGTCTTTGGTGTGACAAAGTTATTTATTTTCAGACGTCCTAACTCATCTGTCCTCCTCTGTTTAGCTTTGGACGCCCGAGACAAGACGGACCCCCGGTCCCCTGCCAAGGAAAACCCTGTAGCAGTATATCAGCGAGAGCTGAGAGCAGAGGAGGTGAAGCCCGTGACGCATGTGAGTCCAACAAGGCAGGAATACGTTTGTATGTCAGAATGGAGGAAAAGTGGCCCACACTGCACCCCGACAGACTTTAGGATATCCACAACAGGCCAGCGCTTTTAGGACAGCTCTAGGAAAACTGCTGTAAATACCAGTAGCCCAAAAAAGGAGGCAAACGACCTCCACACACACACACACACACACACACACACCTGTAGTCAATTAGTCCCTCTGCCTGCTGTATCTCATGTAACAGACTCAAGTTCACTTCAGCTGAGCGTGAATTCTCACACGCACAGTTACTCTCATTGTGTATTTTAATTAATTTTTAACGACTTCAATTACTAATTTTTGTCGGTAATTAGTACCAGATGTAATTCATAAACTGAAGAAGCCAGCAAGAGGAAGGGTGCAGACTTGTATTCGAGAAGTTTTGGAACTCATTTTAAGGGGTTATTAAAATAAATGTGCGAATAGATTTCACAACTATAACTACGGTTCTTTACTGTATTTCTTTAAGTTGAAGTCTTGTTTTGCGAGCCTTTGGATTTAGCGTCTGTGAACTTGGACAGACCTCCATCGCAGGTTCTCAGTCAACACAGTCTGCGTGTAATCTCCCTGCATGCGGCTCCACGGAGCCAATAAAAACTTGTTCTCCTGGCGAGCGAAGAGAGAGCGCGCTCAGTCCGTCGAAGCTGGACAAACAGGGTCCAGAGCCGAGCTGCTGAGGAGGCACAGACCCACTGCGGAGACCAACAGTAGTCTTCTGCCTTTCTTTTTCTTCGGGGTCTGGCTACGTTCTTGTTATTGTTCCGTCTCTGTTTTGACTCGGGTCTTTCTACAGTCGCTGTTCCTGCTCTTTGAAATGACGCATGCCCTTCAGACACTCTGAGTCCTACTGGCATCCGCACGATGTGAGGCAGGTCTGAGGTCAGTACATCAACACTGAGGCTTTGAGTTGAGAAAGCTGGATGGAGTTGAGGCTGATTTCAGCTGTTTCTATGTCTGGAAGTCATGTTGCTGCTAATAAAGAACAGTGAAATGTCTGAGTAACCTTTAGGGATATTCCTTTGTATTTAAGGGACATTTAACAATCATCTCCTAAGTTTGTAGGTTTTTTAACACAACCATGCTCTTTCACTTTACGATTTTGTGCATAAACATTGCAAATCTTAACTGCAGCAGTTGAAGATCAGAAGATACTTTTATTTTTGTACCAGTGATTTATTTTGGTTGACACAGACCTTTATTTGGAGGACTTGTTGCTCTGCAGATATCCACGTACCAGCGTTTTTTGCTACAAAGAGGGAAAATCTCTTATTATATTGATAAGCAATGAAATCAGGACAATAAAGTGTGTTTTTAACGGCCATATAATGAGGAACGTAGTGTCATGAGAAGACCAAATATGAAACAGACTATAACTTTCTTCTCACTCGTTTTATATTCGACAATATAACCAATGAAACAATAACAAATATGAATCACAGACTTTATTTCGTAAACTACTTCAACATCTTCTCAGGGCTTAAAAGAGCAGCATTTATCGCTTCCAGGGCCTCCAGATGTGCAAGATTATCCAAATCAAATAAACTAGATTGCAGTAGGAAAACCACAAGCGATGAATGTGATTATTGTCTGTTGAACTGTTGTCAGTGGTCATGTGATACAGAAACAACTGCAGAAATGACAGCATGTTATGGCCTGAATTGTAAAGCAATTTTAAAGTTCTAAGACTAAAACTACTTCAGGCACATGTTACTAATAGGCTTCTTATTTTGGAGACTATCGCAACACTAAACACATCCACACTCGGGCATCAGCGTCTCAGCCTGTGTGGCAAAAGAAGGCCGAGGTCATTTATTTTGCCAAGTCAAGATCTGCATGTGTGTTTTATGTTGCACCCTGTAAAGAGCAAAGTGGCTTTGGTGTTATGTCTGCAGCCTGTTTGTCCGGGAGCTTTTGGATGGAAGTGGAACTGGACTGTGTGTGTGTGTCTCCTCTTGAGTGTGTGCTTTTGAACCCGTAATAGACGGAATCTGGGATCAGCAGTCGGTTTCTCATGCTGGCCAGTGCAGCGTTGTGGTCTGGTTGGCGAGGCGTAAAAGTGAGCCTGTTTTTTTTTTGAAGATATTAATGCAAATATTTTTGCCAAGAGCAGAAATAAAACAGGGCTTTGCAGGAAGGAATTCAGCCTTTTTTTGTTTTTTCCACATGCACTAAAAAGTATTTCTGTTCATCATCACGCTCCAGCACTTGACAAATGTTCCCGACAACACATAACAATACTCTCTAATGATACTTTCAACTGTTTCACTTCTCAAATACCTGTGGTTTGGCGCTCACCATAGATCAAAGCGTGTAACGTGCGCTGCAAATTACCCGTGAAGGAGGTGGCTGTAAATTCCCACCCACCCTCGACAGCATGACCTGTAGAATAGGTGGAAGAAAAGGAATCCATCATTTATGGGAAAATGATCCCTTAATTAGTCTGGACAGCTCTGACAGCTATGTTTCATGGAAAAGAGGCAAGGTTCGTCTACTTTTTAAAATGATATTTCATACCTTTGCCTCCAGTTGCATGAATGTCAGACAGCCAGCCGTTCCTGCTGACTGCAGAATGTGAGCTTGTTCACGTTTTAAAATGAAAGGAAGTGCGCGCACACCCGAATATTTGGACAGTAAAGCAATAAGTGGTCCAGCTGGTACTGGAAGTTTGATGATGTGTTATGTCGTTGGGGTTGTGCTTTGTTTGTTGTGAAAGGAAGAAGAACTGGTGTTGCTTCTTATTTAGCAGGACAGCCTTGAGACTAATATGCAGTCTTTATGTTTCGCCATATTAAGTTCAGAGTGTGAGAATGCTTGTGTGGAGTTCAAGGCAAACATTTATTCAATCCCCTGGACCCGACTTCTTGTTGCAGGCTAATTCTTTCTTTGGCCAGACTGCAGACCACATCAACAGACAATGACTCAGCAGCTTTTCCAACTGTGAGCAAGCTCTTTTTTTTTTTTTGTGGAGCCACCTTTTAAATTGGTTCATTTACTTCCCACCATCAAACACCGGGGGTTTCCAGTCCACACAGATATTTGGCTCCCGTTCCAAGGGCAGCAGAGGAATGACATGCAAACCAAAGCGTTTGGCTCAAACCTACAGCCAAATAAATAAAACACAGAGAGGGAGGCTCTCCTAAAGCTGCGGTAT